ATTCTTGCGATTTTGATGTGACAAATAGGGAGTTCAAAGGCACAAGCCTATTCTTCCCTCAAATATACTGACGGACTGACTGACTGAGGGTTAATTGTCGTTATATGTTTACAGAAATGACAGTATCCTATAAATACTGCAAACTCCTGTCCATACGCCACCCATATCTGCTACTGCTATCTGACTAGCTCCGCGATGCTAGCTCCGCGATGCACGGAGTGAAATACATCGATTGCCTTTGTAACGCGAACTTGGCGGAAGGATCGCCTGGGGTGTCGTTTAGTCTTGCCAGCTACGTTCAATAGTGTAGTAAATGGGAAGACAGGTTACTTCTTGAGAGTTTGTATGTCTCTCGAAGACTTGCTGATTTTGTAGACTTTCGAACACCCTTTGGTTATTCGATAGGGTCCAGCTCGTCTGTGATTGTGGTGTGAGCTGTATATTACTTACAAGACTAAAATGAGTAAATGCAGTGAATAAAGAGTATGAAATATAAACAGACCTTTGAGGTGCCATTTGTCGGAGTAGTGATTGACCAGCTCAGAAAAACTGGGGCATCCGTTCCTTCCTGGATCATCTTGTTCATCATGTAGTAATCCGGCTTAAACTCCACAAAGTCTTGATGTATTAAAAATAAAATAAATGTAATTTTTTTACTGGTAGTGGAAAACAAGCTTACTACCCTTTCAATTTAGGGTAACAGTCTATTACAGGGTTCACCACGGGAACTGAATCCTCAGAATTCTGTTATGGTAATAGTACTTTATTTTAATTTTATTCAGCTTTTTAGTTTCCTTAGAAATAATTTCTGATCGCGCTATAGATCAGTGTATTTAAGGCTGTTATGTTCTCGTGCGATAGGAAGAAGAAGAAGGCAAAGCCGATTCTGATAGCAAGCCTTTATTCTGGAAATAAAGAGACAAAGAATCCTTAGCTTCTCCAATACAGTCCATTTATAAGGCCTATTTACTAGGCCTTCTAGAATACTCCTGGCCCAATAGCATGTGACCGCTGTTCTGATGGATAGTTTGCCGCGCTGTGTGAACGGTCGTTATGTATGCCCTGTTATCGATATTTCGCCACACTGTGTTAACGGTCATCGTGTGTGCACGCTGATCGATAGGTGCTAACGCTGTGTGAACGATCGTTAGCGTTCACTGTTTGCCTGTACGTATGACTCCAGACCGTAGGCTCTGAGCGCTCACGTCCATATAACAAAGGTCTATAGGTATACACAGACTGAAATTGTTAGTGTATATTTCGTCTGAAACTGGTCAACCACTGCTTAATGTACACCTGCTGCCAAAAGACCGACAGTTATAGTATATATTGATGGTATAATGAACCCTGCTAACAGTGCAGGTACTAAGAAAAATGCCCAGACACGTGTTTCGCTGGTATTCTGCCAATGCTTAACACAGCTGTGAGGTTTCCGTCCAATAAGTGAGTCCCCCGGCTATCTCTGTTCTCTTTCTGGTTGCTATGTGTATTTTGAAAGTTCAGCTGTTTAATTTCCTTAGAAACTAATTTCTCCTCACAGTATAAATAAGTATATTTAAGGGCTATAGGCACATTAGATGACACAGAGTAACGCTAGCGCATAAAGCCTTAAAAGCTTACAGGAAGAGCAACATTTTCCCTGAAGAACTAGCAAACAGTTCTAACTGGTTAAATCTAAAGTCGCTAACGGAGTGTTTGAAGTAACCATCGGTAGCGTAATACAGTTAGATCGTATCCTTTATCTTACTGATAATAATAACTCCTTCGTATAAACGGGAAGGCGGGCATCCCAAGAAATGTAATTTCAAGGGAAGGCGTCCTTTTGGGAAAATGAGTAAGTTTATTCAGTAAATATTCGACACAGGATTCCCAGGTCGTCGTCAGATTTCAGAGAAATGTTCTTTAAACATTTCTTTCAATTTTGACGACGACCTGGGGATCCAGTGTCGACAGTTTACTGAATAAACTTACTCATTTTCCCAAGGAACGCCTTTCCTTGAAAATAGTACCCCTATTATCAATTGGCTCATAGTCAGTTCAAAGAATTTGCAAACAAGAGAGCGCATTGCAAACTCAGATTACCAATTAAAAACCTCGAAGAAAAACAGGAATGCTTCAGAACAGCGTTTTTTACATAGATTGTGGATTAGCCATCGCATGAAATGTGAACCCAAGTTTCGAAATACGTTTTTGGTTCAAAAAAGTCATTCAGCCTACATTTCATGACTAGATGCCGTGCCGATCCCAGTAGTCATGAGACCGAAGGCCACTCTGCTAACGCCATCTGCCAGTTCAGATGTAATTCCTGCGTTGTAGACTATGTCGGTGAGATTGGGAGACGCTTCAAAACCCGGGTGATGAGGGCACCAAGACAGATGAATCCACATTCTTTGGTGGCTGAACACTGTGCAGATTCCGACCACACGTTCGCCTTCCAGAATGCCAAAATCCTGGGTCGCCGAAGCGAGGGAAACGATCGAGGCCTGTTACCCTGGGAAAACCTCCATAAACCGTTGTGTGACACTTCCTGCAGTCTACTAAGCCCTACGAACGCAGCTCAATGAAGAAAGAGCAAAAGAGCACATAGACGGAGCGTGAATCCCAGCACTGACGAGCTGATGGTGCACACGCGCGTAGCTAAACCACACCCGAACATAGAAATCACCAGCTCAGCCAGTTCATCCGTTCATCCTGCAAGTGTGAAACCGGATGGACGTGAAAGCGCAAGCAGGATTACTAGCCTTGGACGACAGCTTAGGTCGATGACGGCTGCACAATTGCAAACACCTGAAGCAGACGGGAGACCCCTTGACTGAGGTTAGTCCACGTCAAAGGACAGGATGATTGAGCATTCCTCTCAACAACGCCCCCCTTTCCTCTTCATTGGTTTAACCCGTTTTGTGTATAACTGCAAACACTTATTAATACTGTTAGACGAAGTAAAACTCTCACATCTGATGACGGAAACATGTAAGCGTTTGAAACGCCAGAACAAGAAAGCGATGGTCCCCAAGGTAACCATATCTTCTCACATATATGTATATATTTATGAGCAGAAGGACATTACCAACAAAGACAAGGGAGACTAGGATGACCATTTCTGACTTATAAGCCAGTCATAAGCTAGTCATACCCAACTCAAATGTTGCCCCAAAACTTAATGCCCCAGTTCTGGCTAGCTTGCGCCGAAATGGACTTTCCCAAAGGCCCACCGATGCGGTCCTCAACGTCTGCAAACAGCTAATCACAGTTGTCACAAAGATGCCTTTTGAACTGGCGACGAATAGCAAGCTTGCACGCGTTCCCGACGCAATCTGTCTGTCTAATCAAAAACCTTCAAGACCGAGCCAACCAATGAACGTTCTCTCTGTCCACTGGCCTGACTGTTGTCAAACCAGCACTTGGACCCGCCCGGCCTCCTGGCTGGGCATATGCTCTCCAAGTCAAATCTCTTTCCATCTATTCTCCGTTCCTTTGTGTACACAATATATTGTTCCTACTACTCTGGCCTCTACTGACTTCTTTTCTACTAAGAAACCATGTCTAAAGATCGCAGTTGATAGGGTTTAACTTACTTAACCCCTTGTGATACCCCGCTCGAGTTTCGAACCCGCGACACTGTTAGCTAGAAATCTAATGCTCTAACCACTGCGCCACGGGCTTGCTGTCTTATGGGTTTTTAAATCGGGAATATACAGTGGCAGATTTGCGTACACCAATAATTAAGAGGACACACTCGTCCGTCTATGGTGCCTTTGGAGCCCACACTCGAGCCTACACCGCAAGGCCGCTAGGGATATAGGCAAAAGGACATTACCGACAAAGACGAGGGAGACTAGAATGGCCATTTTTGGCCTTTTGGCCGTCGTCCGCTAATCACACTTAAGTCAGGTGTTGCTCCAGAAATTGGTGTCCCCCTCGGTAATGTCCTTCTGCCTATATCCTTAGCTGCCTCGCGCCGTAGACATGAAAAAAAAACACAATGGACAGACTAGTGTGTCCTCAAACTGCTCGGTGTATTGCTATCTGCAAATATATATTTATGGGTAAGCTAAAAACCCTTTAAACCATAAAAGGCTAATGTTTTTTTACATGTTTTTCGAATTACCTAACCAGAAGACAAATTGTTCTTGGAAGTCCCAACCGTTTCCGTCTCTAACTTTGCACACAGCTGCATCCAAGCGTTTCGTTTTCTGCGACACCGCCATTTCCACAGTTTTCAATGAAGATCCATCTGCATAGACCCAAAAAACAAGAGTGTTATAAGTATTAGATGAAACGAAAAAATGTTAACATGACTCAACAGTCCAACAGGATCTAATTGAAAATAAAAATATTTAGAAGTTCCTAAGCATGCAAAGTCTTATTTTAAAGTATAAGAACAACTTAATCCTGCCTGCACTAATGCCGTGTTTAACCAATTAACATGATGGTCGGATCGACAGATAACGCAGCATTTATCGATTAATAATAGTTTGACCGAAACAGCTTGTTTTCCTTTCATGTGCCTTCATTCCTGAATGAACGATTGGAATATTTAGACTTTTCAGCGATTAGATGTTGAAGTCCTCAGAAAACCGATCGGAACTTGAGGTGCTATGAAGCATCGGTATTTGTTTTAATGTACTTGAAAACGTATACTAAGTCATGTTGGATAATCAAATTTTAACGAAGAAAAACTATAAACTAATCACGTCATAGTTAAGCCCTTAGTGGCTTGTGATCAAAACTGCAAAAACATACATGCTATTCTACTTTAGAAGCGACAGCTACTTGTTAAATGCCGTCTTTGTTGAGCGTTCACTGATCGGTAACGGAACTCGCTCATCCGGCTCTGCCTTGGGGTTTGCCCAGCAGCCGCGCGGCCGTTAGGGAATGACCGTTTCTGCCTTCTTGGTTGTCATCAGCTGATTGTAACCAACCCAAAGTGATGCAAAAACCGAAGGCTCGAACCCGCGAACTTTTGATCAGAAGTCTCAGCCACCCTAGCCATTGAGCTACGCGGTCGTTGTCTGGCCAGTTATGATATGAAATATCGACACGTGTCGATGGACGTTCACTGGAACTCACTCATCCCGCTTTGGCTTGGGGCTCAACGTCAAAGGTTTTGTGCAAACGACGACGCAACCGCTTGTTGTTCATCTGATCAGCGGACTGCAAATATTGCAGCCGGTTTCTGGTACGGAACTTAGTCTAAGAGTTCGTGGTCTGCTCACCGGAATTAATTTGTAGATTTACTGACGTTGCGGACAGCTGGGGCTGCTGTATTTTGTCGAAGCGAATACTGACTTTATCGATCAGCAAGTTTAAAGTTGCGTTTAAAGTTTAAAGTTGCATGTTAGCCTTGGGCTGATTGATTTTTCTCCGGTAACTGTTTGGCCATGCGTTTGGATGTAGGCTTGGCGTGACGGCAGTTGGTTTGTAGTGGGTCGTGCCTGGCCGACTAGCTCGCGCCGAAGTGCACTTTCCCAAAGGCTCACCGATGTGGTTTCTCGACGTCTCGATCAGCCAATGATAGTTCCTGCATCAACACGGTTTCAGCTAGGCGACGAATGGCAAGCTTGCACGCGTTCCAAACGCAAGCTGCCTCTTTGCCCAAAACCTCCAGGCCGACCTAGCCAATGAAAGCTCTCTCTCTGCCTTCTGGCCCGACTACCCTCAGACCTCATTTGGGATCCAGTCGATCTCCTGAGCGTACGGGCCCTCCCGAGTCAATCTACTCTCATCTGTTCTCCTCTCCCTTGTGTACACAATACATTCTTCCTACTACGTTAACGACTTCTCTTCTGCACTAAGTAACCATGGTCTGAAGATCGCAGTTGCATGGTTAAACTCACTTAACCCCCTGCAATAGGTGTTCTGTTTCGCCCCCATGGTAGAGGATCCTGGTAATCCTGCTCCCTCTTCCGGTGGTTTCGTCACAGTGCCGTCTTCGTCTGAAAGTCCTGACTTCGCATTTACCGTGTCCTGTCCTTTACTCACGTAATGAAGTAGGACATTGTAGGCCGCAGGGAGGTTCAGATACCTGTTGGCAGGGTTGGCGTCTGAGTGCCATACCTTAAGCGTCAATTCTTCAGTTTTTGAGGCGACTCGGCCTATGAGGACGGTAGTGTAACGAAACCAAGGGAAGAGGGAGCAGGAGTACCAGCATCCTCTACCGAAGGGACGAAACAGAACACCAAATGCCGTCACACCAAGCCTAAATCCACACGCATGGCCAAACAGCAACCGGAGAAAAATTGATATTCCCAAGACCAACATGCTAGGCCGCAACTTTAAACTTACTGAGCAATAAAGTCAGTATTCGCTTCGACAAAGGACAGTCGCCCCAGCTGTTCGAAACGTCAGTAAATCTACAAATGTATTCTGGAGAGCAGACGATAAACTCTTATTCTTATCCCGGAATTCTGACTTTTTCAAAGTTGAGGAACTTAGTATCAACAGAAAATGTACAACAAACGTATACAGCAGTATTTTTGGCATAAACAAATTTCGAGACGACTATTAAACTGCTACCCATCTTTGCATGGAGTAGATAACGAGTGGAAGTTCACACGATGCAAGTACATTATGCGTTCGCAAAAGCAGTTGGCAGCCAGGGCCGCTGACTATTAATCAAAGTGGCTATTTAAGCAACAAAATAAAGTACTATGGTCTTTGATTACAAAATATCTGCTAGACAATGGTCACTCTGTAAGCGTCAAGTCATATTTCTTAGTACTTGTCCAGGAAAGTAAAAATTAGACCTTGTGGAATTGGTCTATATACGGTGGTAGAAATTTGACCTATGTTAGTAGTAAGATCATGTGGCTAAGTATCACCTACCCTGGTAATCGCGGACCTAGATTTAATCGCATTTGATTTGTGTAAACTTCCTTCTTCGCATTTGTATTCTTCTCTAAAAATCTAACGGCAGCATTTTTATTGATTAGTCTCCACGTTGGACAATGACCTTGCTGTCGTTTATCGATTTTTGTGCAACTTTAAACGTTTATATACTTCCAATCCATTATCTGTTTCATGCAAAGATGGGTAGCTGTTCAAAAGTCGTCTCGAAATTTATTCTTACACATTAATCCTGTTGTATACGTTTGTTTCAGATTTGTAAAGCTAACGTTTGGACTTCATTTGAACGTACCGTACACCGTTTTAGGCAAATATAGGTATTGAATCCATTCTCAGATAAGATTGGCGATTACCCAACAGTATATATTATACATAGAGATATTATACAAACGATACACAAAAAATCATTTCTTGTTTGCGTTTGGTAGCAAATTATGGCGTCTTTAAATTGTATACACGAAGAAAGACTATATTTTGATACCCAGGTAATAGCGCTTATTGTCACCTTTCGCCTAAGTTTTACGCGTATGTGACTAACGCCTGTACTGGGAAAACGCATAGAATGATGCAATCGCTAAATGTTTATCTGATCAGTGTACTGAACAGGTTTCTGCCGGTTTCTGGTACGGAACTCAGTTTTTACAGTAAACGTTAGGGTTTAATTTGCAAGTACCCTACGCCATTTATAAACTACGGACCATGCTTTGGGCAGAAATTTTTTGAATGCATTCTAAGACAGGAAAAATATTACCAGAGGATATCTTTAGATGGGTTTGCTCTATGCCGTTGAGAGTGCACACGATCTAAAGAAGTATAAAGGAGAATATAAAGAATTATTTTTAAAATTTTCCAAAAGGTAAAATTAAATAAACCCTTCCAAAGCGACGTTCTGCATACTACGTCTGTTTTAACTCACTTCGGGGTTATCTTACACAGGTAAATTATGCGTAGATGAAAAACTGAGATTTTAAACGTGAGTGAATTATTTTAAAAATATATTTAGAAAACACTATTTTGTGACTAAAATGCATGGAGCAGTTGAATATCGATGCAATTTCCTAAAAATAAATCGAATAATTCAGCTTTCGGATTTATATTTCGTATATTGTAATTGTTAAAGATCATCAAGAGCCTTGTAAAAACTGAGATACTATTTTGAGAAGAAGTTTTATGAAACACCGGAATCATTTTTTTATTAGTCTGAGGCTTCGGGCTTAGACCAATAAAATAATGATTCCGGTGTTCGATAAAACTTCTTCTTCGCAAAATATACACCTTCCCAGAATGCGAAAATTTGCCTGAACTGAGATATTATGTTGGTCAACAGCCTTAAATCTGTACGCAGAAAATATCGATCTCTGCCGGTAGTTTAAAACCTTTTGACTTAAATCCTATGTCAACCATATTCTATATCAGCTCAACCCAATACCCAACTTACTATGTACTTATATACTAATGATACTCTAAAATTTTAAGCAAGCTAGCTAATTTTATTCATGCAGGAAGCAAAAAGTCTTGTAAACGTTCAAAAGTATCGGAAATTGAGTTCCATCATGTAAAATTTTACTTGAAAATGTGCCCAATATTTGAGCTCTTAGGTAATTTTTAGCCCGTCAGCAGACACTTTTTGCACTTACTGACTTCTTTCGTGTTTTTATTCTGTGCTCAATCCTTAAAAGTCAAAAGGAGTTTCCCGTTTATCTTTTCTAGAACATTGGTTATTCTTCCTAGGAGACGCACGCTCGAATTTACAGAAACAACAAAAATCACAACCTCAATTAGATGCCATGAGCAGGCATATATGCAATAATGACGCCAATATCCTACTTTTTTATCAGAGGAGTGATCGTTTATGGGACTACAATCTTATTCCAGTCTCCCTTCCATTTAATACTATCGGGGCACCATGAAAGCCGCTGCTGAAAAAGTAATTATATCCTTTCATCACTCAGTACAGCTTCGACAGAGCGCAAACGATACTTGACCATTTCAACAGGTAATAAATAAGAATTCTTATTAGTCTATTAATCCAAAGTTCACACAAGACAATACGTCCGTGGCCGAGTGGTTCAGGTTCTTTATGTCGGGCATGCACATTTCGTGATGCATAGGGATCATTAGACAGCTATTCGATTTACTTTTTGTATTAAAAATCCCCAGTTTTACTAATAAGAATTATGTTTAGCAACATTACTTTGGCCGGCCAAATCCCAATCGTGGGATTATATCTGCTCAACTTACCCCCTCTGCTGAAGTCGGCATTGACCATTTCAAGAAGATCTTTTCCTGATCCGTACAGGTAATTGGAGAAGTCTGTCCCTGAAAAGACGCTTAAAACAAAAAAATTTGCACTGAGAAAAGCAAATCTGTTTTTTTGCTTGAATTCAAATGAAAAGCCAGAATAAGTTTATGGAACAAGGCCAAAAGATATGAAGTGTAATGGTTACTGAACTCGTAAAGTTATTTGCGATCTACTTATTAAACACGCCTTGAATTCACTCTGCCCGAAGCAGCGTACAAATACTAAACAGAGTAGACTATACGTGATGATAAAAAACAACTTACCTTCTACGTCAAAGGCGGTCTTTTCACTGAATACTCCCCCTACATGTAAATGTGGTTCAGTTCCGGAGTAAATTTTGATAAAGTTAATGCCCATGTCTTCTGGAATTTGCAGAGTAAGCCAGCAAAAATCAGCTTCTGAAAGGGTGAAAAAAATGCGAGTTTGGCAATTCTACTGAGGCCACGCACAAGTTGATCAATTGTTTTCAAAATACGACGTCGGTATTACTGAGAAGTGAGAGTTGGATAGGCAAGGTGGTTAATAAATATATTTTGGAATTACTGATTCCCACAGGGATTTATAAAACATGTCCAAAATGTACATACAATGCATGGCGTTTAAAAGTGTCCGTTGCAATCCGTATCTCCAAGGCCTTGACGCAATATCATTTTAGAAGACTATGCAATGTTTACATTTAGATGGATTTTACCCGCCTAACTTACTATTCTATGGAATCCAGTCTTACAGGACATCAGGCTGACTGCCCAGACAGAATTTCCTAAGCAATAATCTAGAATCTACCAGAATGACTACTAGGCTCACTTAATTGTTAGGGGGTTGTCAGCTATGCTGAATTCTGTTGACCCAATTGTGAAAAGCTTGCGGCCTCGGTGGGAGTCGAACGCACAGAGCAGGGAAGGCTTTTAGGCAGCCAATGATCTAAAACCGAGCTACGCAGCTCACCGTGTGCTGTGAATTTAATGACACTTGGATCAAATTTACCAGCCCAACTTACTGCTTTTATGGAATCCACCACTGCGGAACAGCAAAAGCCTTCCCTGCTGTGTGGGTTCGAATCCCACCGAGGCCGCGATTTTTCACAATCGGATCAACTGAATTAAGCAAGGCTAACAATCCCATCTTGTCAATGTCTACTCTGTCTGTAAACTGTATATGGATACCGGAAAAGCTACAATTGCTTACCAGAGGAGTCTTAAAAAGAATTAACTTACCGCAAACCACAGGGCAGGCGAACCCACCATCACTTGTGAGGCAGATATCGGATTCCAGTTCATAGACGCGGCTTTCCTCCGGTATTTCGATTTTCTTAAAAGGATTCAGAAAGACATGCCTTGTAAGTATAGCGTAGAACTTATGAGAATGTCTTAAGCAGAGGTAACTGATAATGTGCTGAATGGGACGAGCAGCGCTTCACATAGAATTATTTCTGGCAATATAAGTGCATGGCTGACGGATTACGTCTGAAAATTTTGCACCACTAAACGTTTAATCATTAGATGATATGTATATTTTTTCTCTCCAAGTTAAACTATATCTTCCAAAATGGCAAACAGAACAGTGGCCGCTAACTGGCGCACGCAACAAAGGACTATGTATTTTTTAAAGCACTTTTTAATGTTAATTGTTCTTTGCACATTTACTCAGCTCTGTCAAGTATCAGAAAAAAACAGTTTCGAAAATTAATTAAATAAATATTCCTATTCTTCTAATTAACCTGTGTGATTTAAAAACTATTTATTTATCTTTATGTATTATTCAAAAGCAAGATAAATAAAAGCCTTTGCATACATAAATAGCAGGGGAAGCGGAAAGATTATGTGGTATGTATTTACCAGGGCAATTGAAGATTAACTACATGGTCTAGTTGCTTACATAAGTCGGGTTTCTCCCGCCGTATGTAGGATGCCTCCATGTAACGTAAGTTCAGATTTGTTCGTGCTCCGTGACACCAACACATGCTTCCGTGCTCTTGTTGGAGCACGAACAAACCAAACTTTACGTCACATGGAAGCATCCTACAGACGGCGGGCGAAACCCTACCTATGTAAGCAACTGGACCATGTAGTTAATCTTCAATTGACCTGGTAAATACAAACCACATACGTACCACATAAATTCTCCTGTTTTGGCCTGCTTTAGGTTTATACCTGGGAAAAATTGCTTTAAATATTTGATCTTAACGCATAGAAACTCCATGTAAGGTCTCCGAACCCGGGTTAACCTCTTAGACCTCATCCACACAGTTGAAATTTTAAGGCATCTGTAGGTAATTGACGCTAACATTCCCTTAATCCTTAACTAAATCTTCACAGTAAGTCTTCTAGTTTACCCAAAACCTGACACCGTTTGGTGCCTGTACGCATATTTTGACGAAGTTAAAAATGAACTGCTTAAGTCGTTTATGTAATTGTAATTGTAATTGAAATGACATGTTTCATTTTGCAAAAACCAAAAACCAAAAACCAATTGTAATTGTAATTGAAATGACATGTTTCATTTTGCAAAAACCAAAAACGGACATGAAAGGTTCAATTAAATGTAAAGTATGGATCTTATGAGTAAGTAAGAAAGCAAATGAACAGTGAATATAAAAAACGCTATAAGTCCCTCTTCTATTTGCTGTGTTCTAGTCCTAAAATTATCAATCTTAATGTTCAAAAAGAAGCAATTACGAAAATACAATACAATGCAATAATTTACCAAAAGGGCACTTACCACGGGTCGATTAAGTGTTAGGACCGTCAAGTTGAGTGGGCTGAACATTCGAAAAATTTTCGGTGGTACGTAATTGCAAACATTTTCCGTAGCAACTTTAATAAAAAAAACAGGATTACGGTGAGAAGCAACAGCACTTGTCAAACATAGAGGGCAAAAGAGATATAAAAATAATAGTTACTATGTAAGATGGGGAAACAGCTTCGATATTTGCTCAAAATTTAATATCTTTGGCTTAAACCTAGTACGTAAGTAAAGGTTAACGTCTGAGTGTCTGCACTGCATAAATAAACTGATGTCAGAAGGATAATATGAGAATAAAGAGTTAACCTGTTTTAGTTCCACTAAATAGTGTGATGAGAAGAGCTGAAAGTATCAGCGTCAGTCCGCAAAAATCTACCATGATGTCTGCATTCACCGAGGGAAAGCACTATCGCTAGATATCAACGTGGGCACCATGTATTGTGTTGGTTACAAATAAAGGTCACATGATCAGAGCAACCAATAGCGTTTCAAATACAGTATGGGCGCTCTGTAACCCTAAAGTTCATACATCTCATTCTTACTCCAAGGTTTAAAGCAGTTTAGAAATATCAAAGGGTGGAAAGTACAAGTACTAAAACAACGGGGAAATCATTCAAAAAAACGTCTGAAACAATTAGAACGAAGTAAAATTTGAAGCAGAAGAATAAGCCTATGCTCAGGCGCATCGACCGCGACGAAAGCCTCTTCACAAACGTGCAAAAACTATTAGCGTCTATAGACATAGTCATGGTTTACGCTTGATGCGGTTTGCGTGTTCCTATTCAAGCTGCAGTTTGCTGGATCTTCTTTTGCATTTGTCAGGCCCAACACAAGCACGAATATACAGATCACAGGAAACGGCAACTTGGATGTGGACGGTCACTTAGGCAGACAGCAATGCCAGTAAAGATAGGAGAGACTGGAATGGCCATTTTTGGCTCAATAGACGTCGTCAGCCAATCATACCCTACCCTGAGAAGTGTACCAGTCGAGATAAGTGAGATCCGTTAGCGACCGGGGCGGGTTTATTAACGAGTGTCAATATATTCTTATTTGAAAACAGCAAGACCACGAGCTTGTGGCGCAATGGTTTCTGTGGCAGATCCCGGACAAAAATAGTCTCGGGTTCGAGATTCGGGTGGTGCAACGTTCTGTAAAGTCCAATCTAGACCTAGATACTGTAGCGGACCTAAATGTAATCTATAGGCGGCAAAATTTACGACATAAGTGCGTGGTAGGACTTGTGCTATTATTTAAAAACGCTTTATTTAACCCATAAGCTAATCATTTTAATACAAACAGATTGGGAGTGCAAAGTGGGTGCCGATACGAGCCGTATTATAGCATACTATTTACTGGCCTAAGTAAACATGATTAAAAGAAGTAGCACCTTAGCATAGACCTGTACTTCTAGCAGCAGTATCGTAGTCCTAACCTAGTAGAAACGGACACAGCCTAATGAAGAGAGTTTGGAGGGTGGAAACCAAGGCCATGTCTGCTGTGCTCAGAGCCCCAAACATGTACTTACCCCAAATACTTTAAACCCACATTCAGACTCCTTTTTGAGATCAAGAGTATATGAACCCCGGCGTTTGCTTTAATGAGAGTCAGCTCCGACAAATGGTAGCATCAGTATTAATATCAGAACTACGAGCGCGTAGCAACATTGCTATCTAGTTTTGGTAGAAGTAGCCGTATCCCTCTCGGCCTCATTGAGCCTACCTTGATACCTATTGAAGGAGACTTGGGGTAGATAGTGCGGTAATACTCGCGCAAAGTTAGTCAGTGTAAGCCATATACGGCCGCTACCACTATAATCTACCTCATGAAACTGTCACCTTCTGTACCAACCTGCTAGTG